TGTTAGGTTCTGATTGCAATGGAACCTAGTGCCCGGTGGGGGGCAGAGTTGTGCACGCACGCAGGGGTGAAGCTGCACAAGAGAGAGCAGGGCTGATAATTAGAGGGTACATTGCTTGCAATGAATTGCACTCAGATCCATCACTGCTGCTGAGCAGAAACTTGTACACAGTCTCTGCCTGCTTTTACAAGTGATTGTTTGACAGCCATGCCTGATGCTGTAAGTAAAGTGTGTTGTGAGTGTGATCTGCCTCGAGGCATGTTTTCACAAACTTGACCATTTTTTAAATTAGCAACAATCTAATTGAAACCAAAAAGGGATGTGGTGGCGCTGTGGGCTAAACTGCAAGGTAGGAAGACTAGCAGTTGTAAGATCAAATCCATGCCACGGAGTGAGCTCCTGTCGCTTGTCCCAGCTCCTGCCAATGTAGCAGTTCGAAAACATGCAAATGCGAGTAGATAAATAGGTACCACCACACTGGGAAGGGAATGGCCTTCAGTGTCTAGTTGCACTGGCCACGTGACCATGGAAACTGTCTTTGGACAAATGCTGGCTCTACAGCTTGGAAACGGGGATGAGCACCATGCCCTAGATTCAAACACGACTGAACTAAATGTCAAAGGGAACCTTTACCTAATTGAAACCAAGTCAATGGTTTCTAAATGCAAAAGCTAACAGCTCTGGCTAATACTGCATGCCCCATTATGTGTGGGAAGAAAAATGTTAAACAACTCAATAACCCCTCTCTTTCCAGGCTACTTTGACCTAAGTAATCACATAAGGAATGATTTGTGACAATGTCTATGAATACAATTTGCAAGAGTAGAACTGAGACCAAATTTCAGTTTTACATTCACTTAGAAGCCCCACACTCACATTCATCTGTGTTTCAGTTTAACACAACAGGTATCAAAGGTTGTGAGGTCAGAGCACAGAGTGACACAGGACACAGAACAATCAAAAGGAATAATAACAGCAGGAAAGGAGACAGAAGTAGAACAGGGAAAATATCAAGCAAGTGATGCACGTGAGGAGGAAGAAAAGGAGAGAAGTTGCGAGGAGGAACAAGAGACAGAAAGAGAGAGAGAAAGGTGTTAGGAAAGGCAGGAGAAAAGGTGCACGGAACAGCGAGAGACAGAGAGAGAGATAGGGAGGCGCAAGGAAAATGAACCGTTGGAGCATTTAGGAGAGAGAGAGAGAGAGAGAGAGGGAGAAGGGTGAATCGAAGGGATGACAGACAGAGAGTAGATGTGTTTTTTAACAACCGAGGAAGGAAACACATCTACAGATACAGAAAAGGTCTCTGTATTTGAGGAAACAACAGATGACTTAGTTAAAGAAGGCGCATTTGCTTATAAGGTACCAAGAGATTAGCTGGGAGTGTCAGAGGAGGAAGAGACGAATATGGTACAATTCATCCAATTATACCATGACTAAGTCTGTTGGAATGGACAGTTTTAGTCTTTCCAAGGGATCAAGGTCCAGAGCAACAAGTCTATCCAGCAGACCCGAGCTATGTGAGGGAGAAACAGGCAGAGGGGCAGTGGGCTCGCCACCCGTGCTGCGGGACTATATGCACCAGGCGCAAGCAACACCCGAGAGAACCGACTGACAAAGAGAAATCAAGCAGAATTTGTTACGAAAGGACATTAACCAAGAAAAGTCATTGTTATGGATGTGGGACAACTCCCCACCTCAGTTATCTGTTTGCTGTTCTAACGACTTGAACAAAGTTGAAGCAATAGGTTCTGTTAGTAAAAGTTATTTTATTCAAAATAATGACTCGTCTTTTACAGTTCAAGAAGGGGAACAGCCACAGGGAAAGTACGAACCTTCTTACAAAGGTGTGGGCTGGGTCCTCACATTGGAACTAGTGAGCAATTTTCAGCAATCACCAAATCATCAAAAGGTATGCATGCCATGTGGGCTGGGTCCTCAATTGGAACTAGTGGGCAATTTTCAGCAATCACCAAATCATCAAAAAATAACTCAAGAAAAAAAGAATAGCTGGTTTATCTGTGCCACACTGCCCTTTCCAATAAAGGTGGTTGGATGCAAAAGAGGAGAGGGTTCATATCCAACCCTAGAGGTAGCTAGTTACAAATAATTAACTCTTTTTGCAATAGTAAAACTTTAGCTAAAGTACATTACTCCAGAGTGGTCCCAGAAGGGTCCAGTGTCCAGTCAACCGCCATGGCTTCTGTATCAGTCCCTGGGCCACCTTATCCTTGGCATGAGGTGACATGACAAGCAGCATGAAACCACCACCTCCAGGTCATCAGTAGAATACTCACTTTTGTGTGCTTTGTGCTGCACTTGCATCATTCAGCCTTTTTTAAAAAAAAAGATAAGGAAAAGTAACTTGTTTGGTTACTTTTGGGAAATGGGGAAGCAAACAATTACTTTCAGAAATTGTAACTGTAGCAGTAGCTAAATATTGGGGGTGGGGTTTGAACTGTAGCTGTAACTAATTACTATTTCAAAGTATTATTTCCCCACCATATCATACTTAGAGGAATTATACCTTTTTCCTCAGATACACTTCTTTTCCCGCCATATTACCTTTCTCTAGGTATTTAACAATAGCAGGCTTCAGGTTTTAGGAGTCCTAGAACATAAGGTTCTCAGTATGGCTTTCCCATCCCAATGCACTTAGCTCCTTTACCACAATTAGTTCGTGGTGATGGCTGTTAGAGGGAAGAGCTGGTGAATATATAGTGGCACTCCTTATACTCAAAGCCATTGCCCAATCCCTCTAGACTAGAAGGTGGGTGAATAAGAAGGCAGTAAAACAACAGAACAAGTTGGATCAAAATGGTGGCTTCCCACCTGGGTGTGAAACATGATAGGTGGTTGACTGTATCAGTCCTAACACAAGCCCTGGTCTTTCTTCTTGATGTTTAGATAAAAACTTGAAACTACAAATTCCTTTCAAGTAAATCATGGCCATGTCATCTATCACAAAGATTTTGCTCCATGCACATATGTTTACAAGCAAGCTACCAGACTACCAGAGACTCTCAGTGCAGACACAATTCTGCTTAAACAGTGAAATAGACAGATAATTAATTCTCATTTAATGATTAGTCAATGCAACATGGGAAAAGCCCGTTTTTAAGATGAATGAATGCATTTAATTTGAAAATGAATACATTGTTATTCGGCTGAACATGAATCGTATTTGTTGAAACAGATGGCAGTGGCAGCTTTGATAAGACAGAAGGAGCTGAATAAAATATTAAGAAATATTTTAGACAAATAAGGAGCACAAGGGGAAAAAAACAAAATCTGTTTTATGTAGTAACAGAGAATCTTGAGGAAGTTCACTTAGGAAATAAAATTTTGAACTGTATTTGCCAGTACTAATCTTCTTTCCATGTTCTATGTCAATTCAAATAGCTTATTGGAACTATCTGAATTTGTAATATAAATCTTATGGGTGACTGTATGCTGATTCCAGGATGTATTTAAATATTGGTATGGGGAGTATTTATTATTTTTCTTACTCATATTCCTTAATATTCTTATGATACTTCATTTTGAATTCTCCTGAAGCAGTGAGAAACAGGAGCAATGAAACAAAGATGTGCAAAAATCAACCATACATTTAGCTTTATTGAAATGGAACAATTACCCCCTTTTTGGTAATAAACTTTTTTTTACAGCAACTGTAAAATTGTAATGTTCATTTCTTTTTAACATTATAGGTTCTCTTCCCCCCCCCCCAATGTTGTTAAGCAAAAATACCTCCTTTTTGGGTTTTGTTTTATTATTATTATTCTTTTATTTCTACTTTAAAACACATAGCAAGGATTTGGACCACATCGCTCCGGCACTGAAAGGTTAACAGGTTATGAAAATCACAGTACAGTTTTAAAACTTTTCAGTTAGTTAACGATATTTAAAATGATAGCCACTTTTTAAAAAGTAAAGATATAAATCAGAGGTTTGTAAATAGGTCATGTTTACCTACAGAGCTATCAACTTGCAGCTACAATGAGAGCAGTAATAGAAAGTCAATGCTAAAATGAGATCTGCCAGGAAACAAATTCTTTGTCAATAGTGCATTACAGGGTAATACAGTAGGTAAATTACAGTTTGGCACTTTATGCTGCATGGAATTAATTAGAAAGAAGAAATAAGTAGGCAAAAACGAAAGTAAGTGCACTGTCTTAGAACCAGGGTGGCCAGACAGCAAAGAGGATAAAGCTCTTAGACTTTGATCAGGGCTGGCCCACTGTTGGGTTGATGCCTCACCTGGCCTGGGAGACACTGAGAGATGACAGCAAGATGCTAGAAAAGAGAGCTATGTGTCATCTAGTCTGCCTTTCACCTCCATGCTAGCCTGCAGCCTTCAGCTTACAAGGAAAGACGCTCTCCTATTAGCAGCACTGACAAAAAAATTCAGCTGCCCATCTTAGCCAGCTTTTATGTACACATCAGAGATCAGAGAACTAACTTTTCCAAGCAGTACTCATCTTGTTCTTTGCCTCAAGCAGCAAAATATTCTGGGCTAGCTTTGCACCCTTTCACCTCCGTGCTAGCCTGCAGCCTTCAGCTTACAAGGAAAGACGCTCTCCTATTAGCAGCACTGACAAAAAAATTCAGCTGCCCATCTTAGCCAGCTTTTATGTACACATCAGAGATCAGAGAACTAACTTTTCCAAGCAGTACTCATCTTGTTCTTTGCCTCAAGCAGCAAAATATTCTGGGCTAGCTTTGCACTGAACAGCTGAGAAGGAGAAATGGATCCCCCCCCCAATTTTCTACATAACTATTAAAAGGGCAGGAGACTTCTTTCTCTTATAGGTACTCTTTTACGTCTGGCAGTTTTACTTAGAACCAAGATAAAACAAGCCATCTCACAGGTCATTTCTGCAAGTGGAAGCATTCAAATTAACCACAACTTACACAAGTTGGACTTCAAAAGCAATGGCTCTATGAACGCAAGGATATTAAAATGCGCATTTACAAGGATAGTAAAGTAGAAATCTCCCCCCCCCCATGCCCTATTAGTAGAAATAATTTCCAATCCACAAAAGGACTTCTGGGCAAGCCTCTAACTGCAGACATTGATGGAATGTAGCTTAGCAGACTTGTTTCATATACAAAGGCAGCATTACCCTGAAAAAAGTTTGGTCCTCTTAAAACTCATTGCAATGCAGCCGTACAGACAGTCCCATGGTAGATGCTGTTAGGAATTTCTTAAATACAGCACAGAGAGAGAGAGAGAGAGAGAGAGAGAGAGAGAGAGAGAGACTTTTCGGGAAACTTCTCTTTTTCTTTTGGCCCTGTTTAGGTTTGTTTTGATCCTCACAAGAGTCTGGAAGAACCATGTTGAGAGTACCTCAGGAAGTCCTTATTGTGTGACCTCACCACCTCTTGTTTTGTGCAACAGTTACTGAAACTTTTCTTTTCCTTTTTTCTTACCCCTTCCCTGCCCTCTTTAGTATCACAAGACAACAACCCCTCAGCTCCCACGACAGAGAAGACATGTCACTCTTTTATTTACAAGTGAGTCACTTTGGCTAGAAGGTCCCAGCTAATAGCACAAGGTTTATTTTTTGTGAATATCCTCATGACGTATAATTTTGTATGTAATCCAGTAAAATATGTTGAAGATGAGAAAGGCAAGTGGGAACGCAGCTCGGGATATTGTATCAATCCTTTTGGCACGGTCAACAAACTTCTTTTTGATGTAATCCGAATCCTTTGGTGGGGGAGGTGGAGGAAGATTGGGAGGCGTGGCTTTGACTGTGGCACCATCTTTCACCTGTAGACAGTGACCCATCCCATAGCCAAAATTAAACCGACTATCACGAGCAGGATCTTCCTCCTAAAGGATGAGAAACAGAAGTAAGAAACAATCTGTTATCTCCCTCAGCTTGGGGTCCCTTCCTGTTCTATCATTCTGTGACCTGTGCAAATTCCTGTTATGCAGCTGTCCTTTAGAAGTACTGCAAGCTGTTGCATGTATGAGTTGTGTCATAATGCAGCTTCACAAAACGTCATTGGGTGCTGCAGCTCCACTAACATTTCTGGCAAAGGAGTGTCCAAGTTATCATCTGATAGTACCTTTTTCATACTGACAGGTAGTGTGTAACAAGGGATTTGGTCGCTGGTTCAAATCCTCTCTCAGCTTGGAGTGACTTTGTACGAGTCGCTAACCCTCCATCTAACCTTCCAGACAGAGATTTAGTGAAATAAAAATGCAACAGTTCCATAAATATGATCCCAAGCTCCTTGAGGAATGACTTCCTGTTGTTGTTACAAACAAAAATGACAACAGATCCCACAAAAGAATCCTAGGTATTACAACTCTGTAATTCTGGGGAATTTATATTGGAGATTCCAAGCCCATTCCCCCATGACATCTCCCTGGGGACAGAATATTAAACCAGCTTAAATTTGTGGCATAGGCCTTATTTAATACTCTCCTAAAATAATCCCTTTCATGCAAATAATTTGACTTTTGTAGACCTTGACCTGCTATTGCAATTCCACCTAAGCTTTTGGCATTCCAGCATTTTAACAAGACTACTGGGGGAGTGTTTTTTCCTTCCAAAAAGTGAGCTGTGTGGGTTATGAATAAATAAAAAGCACCCTGGAACAAATAGTTTCTTTTTAAACCCTTAATGCCACTTTCGTTAGAGCCCCGTCAAGCCATGTTCCCAGGATATGTTCGCTTTTACTTAACACTGTATGCAGAAGGAATGCAAATCCAGGTCAGAAGGTTAATTAAAGAAGAACAGATTCTCAGCAGTCCTTGTTTTATGTTTTGAATTTATTTGGAATTTTAAAATATGCTAATAGCTTATTATACAAGGTGCTCATCTGCCTTGTCTAGCTCTTTCCAAACATAATGAGCTTCTGCTTTCCATATACTCATCTGAAATTTCCTGATAAAGAGCCCTGACTATGGGTGGTTCCAGAAGGATAGCTTCTAGCTGTACCAATGCAACAATCTCTTTTTCTGCTCCTTAACAGATTTTATGTGGTTAAAAAAAAAACATAGAAGAAGCAGTAAGAAATTCCAAACAAATCAACGAACTCATCTAGAGTCTATGTGAAATTCCATTAGGATTACTGAACAAAAGACTTATCTAGCAATCCAGAAACAATATGTATGTGCTTCTTTTACAGCAGCATCGCACACTGCACTGGAAATTGCTTGTGATCTTTGAAATGTATTCAAGGGCATATGCAAACATGCCAGTTTTATACCAGGTTTTATTCAAGTTCAAGTTTATTGTATTAGCTAAAAGCCGTCACAATTGTTTAAAATACAGATATGATCACACAAAACCAGGTTTTATTACTCCCCCTCCCCGCAAATTCTATGAATTGTAGTATGGTCAGGAGTTTGAGAGATTTCTGGCATGGATCTCTACCTCCCCTCCCAGAAATGCAGTTCCCAGAGTTCTTTGTGCAAGAGAAATCTAGGAGACGTTTATTGGCTGCTCTACCCATTTTGTAGAATGAAAGGTAGACTCAGGGCATGATCTGATGGGGATCTGCAGTTTGGTCCAGGTTGGGGATGGGCTGGTTCACTTCTTTTTCCAATGACCACACAATGCACACATGAACCAGCCCACCTTGGATCAATGCATATCTGCACTTTTTTGGGACCCTGTTGGGGCTACAGGTTTTTTTTTGGGGGGGGACACAGGTAGGATTGCTCCATATTGACTTGGTTCCAGCATGAATGATCACTAAGATTGAACCAAAGCAATTGTCTGTCTTTTTGCTGAAGGCTCTTAACAATCTTGAGAAATGGAAAGCTTCCTTTCTGCTCACTTGTGGAGGGGAAGGGAGAGGAAGCTTTCCATTTCCCTTTTAACAGTTTCATTTTGTGCAACTTTTTTGCCATTTACACAAAAGGTAACACTTGCAATGCTGATGATGACGACAAAGAACTGTGCAGATTTTTTTTCACTCTTACATAGGAGTAAAAAATCTCATAGTGATGGTCTTTCTTTTTCTCTTTTATTGGATATCTCTGTGTGCTAAGACACTATTTCACTGAGGATGAGAAAATTTCTTAGCATTCAGTACAAGTTTATACTAAAGTCCACTAACTCAATACAGATCATCTGTTTTAACGGATGTAGCATTTATTTAAAAATCAGGGACACTCTGTGCTGAATCATTTTCACTGATGTGACTAGCCCACAACATGCAGGCAGTATTTTTATGTGGGTAAATATCCAGAAACATAACACTTTAGTTTAGCAATTTGCAAGCTGGTCACAAGTGACTATTTAGCTGTCTTCTATCTGTAATGCTTGCAGGGGCAATTGTGCCTGTATAAAGATTGCTAAAGTATGCACATTCAAAGTCAAGGAGGTGTGCGAGTCTGTTGGGTGCTAAAATAGCTTGAAAATAGGTTTGTTTTGCAAAATTGTCTACTGCAAGCTTATGCAATTTATGCACTTATGAACCGAGTAAATGGGTAGATAGTAGACATGCGCCCAACCAGTTTAAAAATGTGAAAGAGGCAAAGAACGTGAGGAAGGTTGGAAAGAGGTGTTGGGAGAAGATCAAGGGAAGGAGTACTGTGAAATATTTCTGAAACCAATGATTTGTGGCACCAAGCGCAGTCTTACTACTTCTGTCATTACATTGCTCCTGATTCCCAACACAGTGGTGCGCATCCTCAGGACACCACTCAGAACATTTAGAGTGCTTCTTTTGTCAGTATAAGAAGAACATTTCTCATATGTAGTTCCTAATGCTGTGGATGCTACATGGGCAGTGTCTGGGGTAGTCTGCTCCATCCTAATGTCCTCCAAAGGCTTTAAAACGACAACGTCTGCTAGGATGATGGAAGTTGACGTCAAAAACCACTGGAGGACATTAGTTAGATGGTCTAGGATGGCAATTCTCTGTCTTTCATATCTTAGATTCACTGCTCATTTTGTCAAAGAAAGCAAGTCGAGCCATGATACAACAAAAATAAATTGTCTGAGAAAATAATCTGGATTGAGTTGGTAGGAGACTGTACACCACACTTTTAGGACAACATGAAGATGGGGGATGTTCTTGATAGCTGTTATGAAAACCCTGCATCCCACCTAGATTTATATCACTGGTTGACGAACTGCTGCTTTAGAAAATAATGGGATTCCTGAAACTAGAACCCTGATTCACCAGCACAGTTGCCGTCTAGAGTACTTCAGGGCAGGAAGGGTGGTAGGAAACATACCGTGGTGACAGTGATGTGACTTAAAATGTGTGAGCCCCTTGCAACTAGGTCCACTCCTGTAAAAGATCTGGGATCAAGGGGAAGCCTGGGATGCATCTCTCGGACCCATGCCAACTTCAAGGCTTGGTGCCGTCAAATAGGATGCCAGTATCCAACTCAAAGCCCCATTGAGAGGACCAGAATGTACCCCCCTACCACCAATCTCAGTAATGAACTTTGTGCCAAATGACTTCATTGCCTGAGCCTGAGAAGTTTTTGTTTCTGGAAAACTGTTGAAATGTTGGTTCATGCATCCTTAGGCCAAAACCATTTCATATTTCAGAATGGAAAAGGTGAGTGAATTCATAGCCCACACATTATGTTTCTCTGCCTTCCCTTTGACATTATGCAAAAGGATGAGCTTCAGACAGTAAATCATAGCTATGTAGCCCATAGCATTAATAACCAGCATTTCTCAATCTGTCCAGATATTGTTAGACAGTCACCATTCACCATTCCTGACCACTAGTCATGCTGGCTGAGGATGATGGAACTTCAGATGATCAAGCTAATTCTATGCAACACCCCTCACAAACAGTTATAGCCCTGTCCTGAACTAAGAGTCAAGGACAAAAAAGAAAAAGAAAGAATCCTAATTTTGATAAAAGTCTTTCAAGAGATTTTCCTCTTAGGTTTGAAAATATATATAGATTAGTTGTTTAAATGCAGGAGTAGGTGATACTTTTACAGAAACATTGAGAAGATAAAACACTTATATGAGTAGAAAATACAAAACTGATCCAATGCTTTGTTTTACAATAAATTAAGGGAACAATCCCTTAGAAGCTCTCATCTGACTGAAAGGAATGAAATTCTACTTGTGTCCTATGCAGTTCTTGTTGATAAAATGAGGACAACTTTAAGAGAATTGCAATGTCAGGTCATAATACTGATGTGAGTAATGGACTAGATGAGGCTGAATAAATTGAAATTTAATCCAGACAAGACAGAGGCGCTCCTAGTCAGTCAAAAGCCAGAACAAGGATGCAGCCTGTGCTGGATGGGGTACAAGGAAGCAGCCTGTGCTGGATGGGGTTGCACTTCTTCTGAAAACACAGCTTGGGGGGGGGGAGGTACTCCTGGATTTGTCTCTGAGCCTGAATGCTTAGGTTTCAGCAGCGGGCAGGAGTGCCTTTGCACAGTCAAAACTTGTGTGCCAGCTCTACCTGCTCCTGGAATGGTCTGATCTGGCCACGGTGACATGTACTTTAGTTACATCCTGGCTGGATGACTGTAATGTTCTATATGTGGGATTGCCTATGGAAAGTGTCCCAAAACACAGCAGCCATATTGCTGACTGGGACTGGTTACAGGGGTCATCTAACCTGCCTTTTTACAGCAGCTCCACTGGCTGCCAATCTGTTTCCAGGCTGAGTTCAAGGCGTTGGTTCTAACCTAAAAAGTCCTGAAGTCCTGGTCTAATACGCATCCAATACTTTATAGAGGTACCTATTAATTCACTTCCTTCAAAGTGTCATAACGCTATATTGTGTATGGCGGCTCTCCTGCTCATTTTGAATGAAGCACTATGTTTACTGACGAATACCACCATTTACTAAGGAACCGTAGACACATCAGACGTATGATTATGC